GTCACTAAATAAATGTTAAATTTGAAAAAAATAAAAGATTTAAAATGATAAAGTTTGTATTAGAGCTATATGTGTGTCTAGCATTTCAGATATATCTTTCCTAATATATCCTTGCATTTGGTAACTAAATAAACATTTATAAAAAGCTATTTTATAATAAGAAGTTATATTTCTATTATCCTTACATAATTGGCCTGCCGGTTTTCTTCTTGGAACCATTTCATTGCTCCTGAAGAGAGATGTTGCTCTGGGTCTATTTAAATTCTATACCTCGTTCTTTTATAGAGTTGAGAGAATCCTTGGAACTGGACACAGCGGTGGCTTGGAACTGGCTTCTCCACGCACTTCTGCGTTCTACCGCTGATAGTTCCGTTCTCCCAGGAGCTCTGCTCACACTTCTGAGTGACTCATCCATCCATTTCCCACATCTTCCATATCTTGTCAGTTGACAGATTCAGCTGATTGAGTCTCCTCAATATCTCTCAAATTCATCTTTTATTTCCATTACCACTGACCAGATGAGGCCTTATGACTCAAACTTCACTGTTATAAAACCTTTTAAATAACTTCTATATCCACAGAATTTCTCTATTCTCTTCCATCCTACAGAGAGAAAAGGCCCAGTGTTGTTCATCTCTGTAATCTAAGCACTTAGCCTAGAACAGGAGAGATGAAAGACAGGCAATAAATGTTTGTTAAATGAGGCCTGGTTGTATTGCTTCTCTCTTCAACACCTGTGATGGTTTCCTGTTGCCCATAGGTGGAACCCCCTTCAGCCTGGCGGAAGGCGCAGCAGTCATCTTTGCCACCGCAGCGCTCAGACATGCGGCTGGTGCACCCTCTGGGGACTACTCACCATTGGGCTCATGCTACTATTCCCATTCTCATCAGTGTTCCTATATTCACACCCTGCTTTGTTGTCATCTCTGTGATGCCTCCTCAGAATCTTCTTCCACAGCTGTTGGTCTTTCCTGCTCTCCTATGGACTTAACTTGGTTGTAGCACAGTCTGTCTTTATAGCTTTTGAGTGGACAGAGTTTCATTTTTAGTGCCAATTTTGATCAATTGGTAATGGCAGCCTAAAGCACTGTGTTGAGAAAGATTCTAAGGTTATACTTTGGTTCCTCATGAAAGAAGGTGCTAAACCACATTAGATGCCACACTTGGGCACAGAAAAAAAGAGAACAAACTGCCCATGGAGCAGCCAAATTTGTTACAGATCCCCATGTATGTGTCTACTCCACTACATCATGTGTCCTTAAAGATATATTTCCATCCTCATAGCCTCTATCACAGTTTATGTTTAGCTGATCCCTAAACACCCTAGTCACTGACTTTAAGAGTTTGCAATCTAAAATGGCAAATATGACATTTGTGATAGAATGTGATAATGGACAGAAAAAGATATAAAGTACTAATGAAAAGATCCTTGAATAGTAGATAGGAAGACATGGAGAACGAGAGGTCTGTCTAGAAAAAGTCCAACCATTGTTAATATGAGAATGGTTTGTGTGATGTCGATGTAACCTGGCAGCCAAGGAGAGTAGACTGGAATGTGCATGTGTGAACAATGATGACTTCACTGTACTAGTCAGTGGGGGTGGTAGATGGATGCCATTGAGCGAGCATGTGTACTGTGTGTGGCCATCACATTCGAAATGACTGAATGAATCGAGGAATGAATCTGCATTAACTTTTGCATGAAGTGTGAACATTCCTCCATGGAAACTATTCAGATAATTCAGAAGGCTGCAACTATGGGCAACTGGGGATTGGCAGCTTCATCATGACAGTTTGCCCGCTCATGCATCATGTCTTGTGCAGAACTTTTTGGTGAAACGTCAAATCACCCAGGCCCTCCTACAGCTCAGATTTGATGCCCTCCCTGACTTCAACGAGAATCATCATCCAGGATTCTGGCTTTAACTAGAATCATCTTTGAAAGGCAAGAGATTTCAGATCATTGATGAGATTCAGGAAAATACGATGGGGCAGATGATGGCAATTGGAAGAACTGTGTGAGGTCCCAAGGTGCCTACTTTGAAGAGGACTGAGGTGTCATTGTCCTATGTACCATGTTTCTTGTAGCTTCTTCAATAAATGGCTCTATTTTCCATAGTACATGGCTGAATATCTTCTGGACACACCTCATGCATCCAGAGGAAATGAAATCAGTACCTTGGAGAGATGTCTGCATTGCTGTTCATTACAGTATTATTTATGCACAACAGCCAAAATATGGAAACAACCTAAGTGGCTGTTATCAGATGAATGGACAAATAAAATGTGGTACCCACATATATATTCACACAGAAAATGGAGTATTATTCAGGCTTTAGAAAGCCAGTGTAAGTGCAGTGCAGTTATTTCTTCACAAGGTGTTAAATTCTAAAACAGCAAAAGTGAAAAATCTACTGTAGTTAAAATTACCTTTGAAAATTTCTTAACTTGCTCTTAAAGAGTGGAGGTAGAACACAATAAAGGGGGTCAAATATATGGTGGTGGAAGGAGCTTGACCTAGGTGGTGGACACACAGTGCAATATACAGTTGATGTACTATAGAGTTGTACACTTGAATCCTATATAATTTTATTAACCAATGTTGCCCCATAAATGTAATAAAATTAAAGCAGGTACTGTATGAATTATTCACTCAAAACTTTAAGAAGTACTGAACAGAACAATGAAAGCTATAAAAAATATAGACATCTGAACATTCAGACTTTTCTACTTTTAAGATACCTATCAGAACACTAAAAGAACTTCTCTCTTCCTATATATTTTATCCCATTTTTGGGGGAAAGAAGTAAATCTACCTACATTTTATGTTTATTAATGGATTTGCTTATTTTGAAACAATGTGTATAAAAGAACCTAATGAAAGGCTTGGAACATACTTGGTACTTAACAAATGTTTGTTGGATTTGACTTTAAATTTTGCCCATTAATTAGATCTGCTTACAAATGGTTCTTTGAAAAGTGGGTTAGAAGACCTTGGTTGGCATCTTCTCTTTCCACCATGCGTCTTCTGTGTGGCCCAGTGAACAGCTGTTACTCTTTTGCTCTTTACACTAGTTTCAAGACAACTTACCATAGTTCAGGAAATGTATATGAAAGGAGATGATATATTTTGCCCACCAAACTAGTAAATTAGTAACATCTTATGTTGTCTACCATATGGGAAATAGGCACTCTTGTAACTTTTGATAGGAGCATGAACTATTTAAACCTTTGGAAAAAATTTAGATGTCCTAAAAGAAATAAAAATTCCTGTAGTGGCAAATACTGAAACAAAATCATATATTCATCAGTGAGGAGATAATTAAAGAAATTGTAATATTCCCATACTGTGGAAAATGATGTGCATAAAAGGCAACTAGATAGATCTATGTGTTGTTAGAAAAGTGCCCATGATTGAAGTTAAATAAATTATGAAATAATAGACAAAATGTAATGCTATCTTTGTTAACAATAAATAAAAACTGAGAACTCAACCTCACATACAAAAAATAAACCTAAATGTATGTGTATTTGTTTGTATAAGAACACAAACAAAAGTGTGGAAGGAGATGTCCTAAATTGTTACCCTTGGTAACCCCAAGGAGGTGGGGCAATTAAATGTTTGGGGGAAGAGCAAGGCAATCGTTGTTTCTTTTGCTCTCACTGTTGTTTGAAGGCCTAATCCAAATTTGCAGCAATGAGAAATAAAAGACAAAGACAACTGGGGATGTAACATGGAAATAGAGTGGATGGAATTTGGTAACTATTTGAATGTGGTAGAAAGGGAAATGAAAAAGTCAAAGCTGGTACATCAATTCCCAGCCTGCGCAACGGGAGGAAGATGCTATCATTCACAGAAACAGGCATATCATGAGAAGAAGAGAATTCTTTTTTACTGTTACCAGAGGAGAAGTGATGAGTTTGGGTTATCAATCAAAGTTGTACTGTTTCTTATTTTAAATAATAATTGCTCCTATAGGAAAAATTCTTACCTTGGTCTTGAAACCTCCAACAAAATGATGCTTTATGGTTGTATTTCATGTAAACTTTGGAACTAAAACAGTCAGACTGCTGTCTAATATTTTACCTTATTTGTGCATACTATTTCAAAACAAAAGACCATTGATTTTTAAATTGGAAAAAAATTATAATTATTTAAAATCATCTCAAATATGTGAAAAAAGTAAATTTTCCTGCTGTATCAAAGTGGCAGAAAGTAAAAACTATGACCGGTACAATTTTTACTGTATGTTTCTATTGTGTTATTTTAATATAGTTATTCCTCTTCAAGTGGGTTTGTAACTCAATGCCTATTAAATAAACAGAGAATATTGTTCCTAAAGATATTCTATAGAGGTAGCCTTGCAAAGATATTTCTAGAAATAGCTTGTACACTTTTATTCCATAGAAAGTGGCATTATATATTGCCTTTATACTTATATTATTTACTTGCAAATACTGTCAAAATGCTGTGTGAATTTATTTCTGTGTAATTACGGCATATTTTATGTCAGAACCGAGATAAAAGGGTATAATTCACCAGTTTGAGCCCTTTTGCATAGATAAAGGATTCAACAAAGTCACCTTAATAAATCATTTTAATTTTCAGCTCAGTTATGTGGAAACCAGCTCTTGATATCTTTATTTTCCATTCATCATTGATTGCATTTTTACTTCAGAAACTATTCCTATATTAGTCTTTCTTAGTTGAATTATGTGGGGTTTTCCATGGATAATGTTTTTCATATTCCATTTGTTATTTCTAATTTGAGTTCAAACAAGAATCCCTGTTTACTGCCATGTTTTTATTGAGTTTAAAGAATTTAATTAATGTCAAACCTTCAGAGAATTGGGTGATTATGATGTTGTATGAATTCACAAGTTGGTTTATTTTATTGACTAATTCTTATAGTTTGAGTTAAACTATATATGCCCCCCACCTTGGAGGAAATAGAAGAAAGATAATAAACTTAATATTTTATATATTTCTTGTTTTCCAGAAAATAAATACTTCTGGAACCAGTAATGCAGATACCCCTTTGGCTGATCCCGGGATGTACCAACTGGACATTACATTAAGAAGGGGTCAAAGTTTAGCTGCCCGAGATCGAGGAGGTAAGGCTATAAGAACAACATCGCTTGGAAACTTATTCTGCGTGTTTCTGACAAAACTGTTTTGTATGGTTGCTTAAGTTTGAAAAATTTATCTCTAGTATAATTTTTAGAAGGCTGGGTTCAGTGATGTGGTGTGAAACATCATCTGAGTCCTGTGACCACACAGGAAGAGGTTGTGGCGCAAGTTCAAAAACACTTTGAACTGGTCTCAGCTCAGACAACGAGGTCCCAGCAACACTGCTGACAAACTAGACTCTGCATTATATGTAATTAGTGACACAACCAGTTAAGTAGGTGAGACTCATATTTGAAGCCTTATCAGAAGTCACCTTTTGGGAGGCCTGACATTTTTTTTTTTTCCTTCCCGAATTGATTTGCTCAGTTGAATCAGCTAAAATTGCAGAAATCAGGACTTTGGAGATTCCCAGCAAGTAATTTTCTGAAGCTTTGTTGGACCTGACAGTAGTCTCGCGGTGAATTAAATAGGTATTTTAGGCCATTACGAAGGAAAAGACAAAGCAAATACTCCTTAGTTCTTGGATTCCAAATCCCAAGAAAATCTCTGGATGAATTAGCCTGGGCTAATTTAAGGATTCCTTGAACCCAGGTTAAGGCAGGACCAGAGACGGACCCTAAACAAACTGTGTAGAATCATTTGCACATTTCAAAATACCAGCTATTCAGGATGCGGAGAAGTGAGGGCTCCTTATCCCCAAAGGAAGCTGAATTTGGTGTAACTCCTCCCATGAGAAGGGAGAGTCTCTAACTCTGTAACTCACTGTCAGAGAACGGGGAGGGTGTTCCTGGGGTTACATAATCTTGTTTATTTCCTCCAATCCTATGATGTCCATATATGGAGAGTGGAAGAGACCAAATTAGGACTAAAGTTTGGAATTTTTATCTATTGTCTCTATAAGAATAAAATACAGAAAATAATATAATAGTGTTTTTAGACTAGTAACTGCACAAATAATGGATTTAGTTTTTAAGTAAAAACTAATAAATATCAGAACATTCTTAATGAATGAATGTGTGATTAGAATATAGAATTTAAACACATGGGGGAAATTTTGAAAATTAAGACCATCTGATTTAGTAACTGAGGACAAATGTTTATTGAATTGAACCACTTGTCTCAAATGAAGTTAGATCAGAAAAAGAAAATGATGCTAGTAACATAGTTCTATTTTGCTATATGTCTATAACTTTTTAAAGATTTTAGAGTACTTTTAATTCCATTACATAACATCATTTCATGTAAAACAGAACTGAACCAGACATCAGAAGAAACTTTTCATCCTAGGTGTGCCCTACCAACAATAGTAAATGCATAGGCACACAATTATTTATTACGGCATTGTTTGTAATTATAAACTACGCATCAATAGGAGAGGTGACTAAATAAACCATGGTACATCCACATGATGAAGTACTATGAAGCTGTAAAATAAAGAATAAGGAAAATCTCTAGGAATTGATATGGAAAGAGTTACAATGATATATAATTAAGTGAAAAGGTAGAGTGCAAAAGAGTATTGACAATATGGAATGTTTCATGTAAGAAAGAAGGAAGTCTAAAAAATTATGAATTATCTGCTCATTTGTTCAAAAAGATGTATCAGAAGTAAACTCCAGAAACTAATGAGATTAACAACATAATATAGATAAGAACAAGTGACAGGAATAGGGGATGGAAATAGGGTAAAATGAGGAAGTCACATTTCTCTGAGTAAATCTTCTTGTAACCATGGCAATATTTTAGCAATGAATGAATGAATGAATGAATTAAATCAACTAGGATGTGGGAGGAACCCAGAATGGAATTTAACTATAACCACACCTCAGGGGGATGGGGAATAAAATAACTAATCAAAGTGATTATGTAAAACAGTATTTGGATTAAGCACTATAAAAATCAAAAGAAAATGACTGTACATAATATTGTACTTCAGAGCATGAGTGACAATTCTGAAACTACTTACTGTGTATATTAAGAATGAGCAAATAAGTAAATATATTGTGGATGAGTGCCAGGTTTCTTACTGTTGGAGAAAGAAGTTACAATATACAATAGGGGAAAGCTGGGATGAAATGTGTGGTGTTTAAGAGGTATTAGTATGAATTAATAGATTGATGTATGACGATTGAAACGGTTAGAGGTGTGTGCGAGTGTGTTTTCCTAGATCTGTCTGCTGAGAGATACTAGACGCAATCTCACAGGTGTAATGATAAAGTAGTAATCAACATACCTCGGGCCCGTTCTTGGTTCCTAAATACAATTTCCCCAAGAAAAGTAGGCAGGGCTCCTGGAGACATTGTTGATTGCAAATCTGGGGCAGTGAAAGTAAAAGATGAGCCTGGAACATTCTGCAGTGCCAGAAAGTAAGGGAGTCCCCCAGAATTGATGGCAGAATGTCAAAATGACATAGGAGCCAACTTAAAGGAGCGCCTAATGACTACAGTTGGAACAAGTTCAGCAACAAAATAAACGATAGCAGTAATAGATTATAAACCATAAGATAACATAAATACCTATTATTATTACGAGTAAAGGTAAATAAATATATAAGTAGAAGACAAGGCACAGCTTTTCCTTATAATAGAATTCCAGTGAATAAATATAGAAGGAAAAATAGAAATAGAACTCTATCCTTTAACAAAGACAGTATAACAGTTGTTGCAGGCAAAAATCATGAATTGATAGTAAATATGTAGGTGCACATTTATGATAAAAACAGAATATTTTCATCATTTCCAAGTATTTCCCCACAAAATGCATATATGAACTACAAAGAGGAAAATAGTAATTTACAGTGGAGAAACTTGGAGGACATGATCTTTACCAAGCGGTCAGAGTTAACTTCAGCAGGAATGAGGAAGACATTCACCATGGACCTGCTGATTTGACGTGCTGAGACAGGCACATCAAGTCTATAGGATTCTTGTCATAATGTGTACAGTCACTGTCATCTTGAGAAAACATCAGGCAAACTCTGGCAAGCCGTAATAGCAGTTGTCGAAACAGAGTAGCAGCTACCCTTGGGACAGGGCATGCACAGTCTTGTTCCCCATTTTTAGGTCTGGGTGGCACTGCGCATGCACCACTCTCTTTCTTAAAGGAGCAAATTATTCTCGATGTCTCTGCTAAAAATAGGGATGGTGTTTAGGTAGAATGAGAGGGCCATGTTCTTAAGAAAAGTATTACTTTGTGGAGTGAAGAATGTCCCAAAGTGTTTAAAATACAAACTTCAATTCACCTTCACTATTTTACTTACTTGCCTGGAGTCCATGATGTTTCTATTGGGTAGATATGAGAAGAGAAGTTTAAACAGAGGAAACAACATGAGTTAGTTTTGAGATTGATTAAAATTTATCTTAGACCCACCTGCGAATAACAAATATGTTAAGCATATGATTATGTAGATAATATTGAAGCACTTTAGGTTTGGAAATTATATATATGTAATTATATGCATATAGGATAATTAGATGGAGATGGGTAGTTCAAAGTGATAAAACCAGTCAGAAAGCATTGCAGTTATGTAGGAGTATAGTTTTGAGGGTCTGAACCATAATTATGGGTGTTGAAATGGAGAAGGAAAGGAAACTATGAGAGATGGTTCAGGAGAGTGTCCAGTAGCACCTGAGATCAATTGGATGAGGTGGTTAAAAAAAAAAATGGTTGAGATTTTAAGGCTGATGGTACCTGGGAGCTATGTGGATTTTGGAAGAAGATGAATGTAAGAAAAAAATGTGTATTACGATTATAATTAAAAGTATTACACTCTTTTACCGTTCATTACATTGTTGCCCTTACCTATTGCCCAGCAGAACCAAAATCCTATGACCCCTATGTCTCATATTACCTTTGTACAGAATAGTGGGAGAGGAAAACTCATCTAGTTTTTTGCTAGATTGTTGCTTGGATTTTGCATCTCCAGAATCTTCACTCACATGTAATAGGCACTGAGCAGGGCTCAGCAGTCAAAAATGGCCATCGTTCTTCCATTTTTATAACCTGTTCTGCAGAACAATAACCAGATGGCTTCTTGGAATGGTACTGCCTTTTCCTAAGTTTTATTATGTCAGTTTTAATAAGCTTGATGGACTAGAAAGCAAATGATCTTGGGGAGTCTGACCACATAATTTCAAAGCCAAGTTCAACATTATGTTAGCTGTGTGACTTTGAGATCTGCAATTTCTCTGCTGAAATTGTAGGGTTCCAGATTTAGCAAATAAAAATACAGGATGCCTAATTAAATTTGAATTTCAGATAAACAGTGCATTCTCCTTTTAACTGAGTTCCTTATTTTATCTGGCAGCCCTCTGACAATTGTCCTCTAGTTAGTATCAGAAAAATACCATTTATATTTTAATTGGGTTGGGCCTTTCAGGACTCTATTATCATCTATCACATGTTGAATGTAACATCTTGACATGATTTTTTGTAGTGCTAGAAAAATACGAGCAATCTGCGTGGATATGTTTAGTGTTAGCAATTCTCTACAATTTGAATTCTTGAAATTTGTATCCTGGAGGATGTTTTAATTTCCTAGGGCTGCCTTAACAAATAGCTATAAACTTGGTGGCTTAAAACAATAGAAATTTATTATTTCATGGTTGTAGAGCACAGGAGTCAAAAAAAATCAAGCTGTGCTAGGGAAACACTCCCTTTCAAGGCTCTCCCGAAGAACCCTCCCCACCCCTTGGCTCCTGGTGGCCCCGGGCATTCGTTGGCTGTGGCAGCACCGCCCTTCCATCGTTCAGTCCTTTCTCTCAGAAGGACATCAGTCATAGGGTTCAGGCCCACCCTAAATCCAGGGTGAGCTCATTCCAAAACTTAACTCAATGACGTCTACAAACACCCTATTTCCAAATAAGGTCACATTCACAGGTACTGGGGTTTAGAACTTGAACATATCTTTGGGAAAACCCCTGTCAGCCCAGTACAGAGGACAATGGCTTCTTTTCATGTACTCAGAACAAATTTAAATCATCAA